CATGAAAAAAAAAAAAAACTGAAAATTATAACTATTTCGGACTGTTAAAATCATTTTAACAGGTTTTAATGAATAACTTAAATTTTTCCCTCAGTTACCTTTGTGTAGTGGACTAATGTGTTGGCAAAAAACCTACACATCTTTGTTGCTTTTTGGAAAAGCTTGTATTCTGGACAGTGCACAATTTCCTATGACAAACAAAAGGAGGAAGTCAGATATGAGCTGACCTTTTATATAAAAACACTTTATACTTGTCCAACAAAAAAAGTTCCTGATGAATGTTTCAAGGTCACCATTATTGCAATTAAAATTACCACAGCAACCAATAAATAATCACCATCTCTGTAAAAAAAAATGCAATGTATTAAAAATGTTTAACTGATTATGAGTCTACCTGTAGGCCTGCCTGTTGGATCTGTTGGGCCAGCTCAAGACAGTTCTGGACAGATGTACACAGGTCTTCACACAACGAGAAGGCTATGTCAGTGTGGTGAAGCCGATCTTCTACAAAAGACTGGTATTTCACGCTCTGTCTGAAATCAAACACAAACTGTCAGTACATAAATTAGCATTATTTATTTTTTCATAGAGATTTTAGATTGAATAATTAAGTATTAGGTGCAATTTATAATGTCTGATCGATTTGGGACAAGAAGGTTTTTTGGCTGTGTAACATTTATCTAGTAAAAAAAAAAAAACCCTGGACTCAAGATACTGGCATTTAAATCATGCAGCAAAAGTGAGACTTTCCTTTTTACTTCAGGACATAAAATTCCTCTTTATATGCAACATGGCCATAAAAAATGTATTTCTATTAAAAGCAGATATAAGGTTTTATGATGCACATTAAACTCACTTTATGATAAATTTCCATGTGTTGGCATGTAGCGCAATGTCCAATCTGGATATGATCGAGCATATGTCCAGCAGACTGTGAATCACTGCAAGCCAAACACAAAATAACTACTGAAAACCAAATCCATCTCTTCACTGGAGATTTCTCACACAGATACCACAAACCTGTGACAATATCCGACACTTCCTCCTCAGAAGCAGTGTTCTCCAAGTTAATTTTGTCCATGAGTTCCATCAGGCCCTTCTGCAAAGAATAGGCCTCTTTAAACAGGCCCTGAAGCAGATCCCCCACCAATGACAACCTTCCACTGTACATGACCTCACTGTCCTATAAACACATCAACACCATACTGAAATTTACAGAAAAAATAAAATCCTCTGCATAACCACTATTGCAGTTCAAAGACACACTAAAACAGACAACAGCCTTTTTGGTGTACTCACAATCGATGGCTGGTAGTGTAAAAATATGTCCAGTGCATTATATAATAATAATGTTGTACCTTGCAGTGCTGGAAGGTGTCCTTTAGGACTCTGAGGATGCAGGAGGGCAGAGAGCGAATGGCATCAAAGGAAACAGACTCTTCGAAGGAACAGACATGACGCACACAGCCAGAGAGAGACTCCAGGGTCTGGACCATCATCTGGCAAAAACACAACCGCAGAAATCACTATGACCAGCAAATGAAGAAATTTTTATTTCAATTTCAATATGGCATATTCAAACCTTCAAGATATTTCTCAATAACACATGTAGCTCTGTGTTCTGACTAGAAAGGCCTCCAATTTGCTTGCTGATTTCTTCCAAAAGACTGGCAAACACTTTTACCACCTGTGGATCGTACATGACAACACATGAAAATAGGCTTCCTGTTGAATACTTCAGACTATAGAATTGAATTGGCACGAGTACCCGATACTCGAAAGTGACAGCAATGATAAATCATGAAAATGAATAAAAAAAATGTTCTGATTGGCTATGACAGCATTTTGGGAGGTACCTTGTCTGACTGCTAAGCATTCAGACAGCATGCTGTCCAGACCAGAGAACTAAAGTGAAACAAAGGCTTTGAAGTGCACAATGATGTCTAGAATCACTCTTGTTATATATGAATATATAACACTCATATATGATGAATTAATCAATTCACTACCAAAGCGCTTAATTTTACTGGTGTTTATTCACTTTTCAGCTCATGCAACGTGAGACATAATTCATTACAACTGTGTTGTTTGAAACAATCTTATTCTTTTCATCTTTTGCATTTTAAAAAATGGATTAATAATTATAAATAGCTGTGTTATTTTTTGATATTATTTCCATTAAGTGTGTTTTATTTAAAATTGTTTCATTATCATCATGATACCTAGAGTACTCAAGTTCTTTTTTTAATTGAGCTACCAAGTACTCAAATAGGAAAAATGAAAAAAATGCTCTTCCCAACTATAAAACCAACATTTTGTGGGAATTTAATTCTCAAACCTTGGGTAAGACCGTGGAGAAACATCCCGTCTCTAATTCAGATAAAGAAAGATGAGGGAGGAACCGGCTTGTGATTATTTGAAGAATATCTGTGGAGATGGAATCATGTGGAGAAAATCAACAAAGTAGGTTATACAAATAAAATATTTATTGAGATTTGTTTAGAGGTCCACCCGAGATATGCCAGGTCTAAAACAATTACATATTGAAGACAGCTCAGACTTACTTGTGTGCTCTTCCCAGCTGTCAGTGTCATGATGCATGGCGTTCAAGTGTCAAGGCCAATCTTAATCATGTTACATAAATGACACTAAGTTAGTCCTAAACAATCAAATACATGTGTACATTCATACATTGCCTTAGACTACAAGTAAAATTAATTTGTGAAGTCAGGAAAGGATATAACTAGTTTGGGCAGGACCGTTTTGAGTTCTTGTTGACAGGTCTCCTGGTTCCACTGAGAGACCTCATCCAAAAGGGTCACTTGAGACATTGTGGTCACGTTTTTCAAAACACACCTGCATTGACAAAGTTGTAACTTAAATCGATTTGATATATTTACGAAAATACCTCACCGATAAATCTACGTCCAAACGTGTTTTCGTCGTAAAAAGTAAGTTAACTTACTTTGTTTATTCAATTGGAAGGTAAAACTAACTCAACTAGCTTCATACACATTTTTAAAAAACTATTAACGTATCTTCTTCGAACTTACCGACTTATTCAGAGGGAAACAGTAGCGATTAATAAACGCATTTATGTGATATTTATGGACAATAATGAGATCCTGCATACATATTTGGGTCTTCTGTTTGAGTTCTCCTCCACATTTCCTTCTTCTGGGCGATTTCATTCGTCAGCACTACATGGGGTTTCTTTAAGAAAACGAAACCTGTTGGATAACTGTCCTAAGCGCTATGTGTGCCTATTTAACGCTACACAAAGTATATTTCCTCATTACGTTTGTATTCGTTTTACAAGTGTACGTCAATAACAGTACAGCGCTTACGAACTCCCCTCTAAAAGTGAATTGGTATCGCTCCCAACTTCGCGCCGTTTTCTTTGAGGTGAAGTGTAGTTTAGTTCATCTTATTCACACCGCACTCTACGGTGATTGGTCAGAATATTCTATACTTGTTGTATGACCCAATCACAAACGAAATGTTGTTAAATCGATGTACAAGGCGCTTTTACTACAAACAGTGTTGCCAACTTAGGAATTTTGTTGCTAAATTTAGCAACTTTTTAGACTACCCTAGCAACTTTTTCTTCCAAAAGCACCTAGCAACAAATTTAGCTATTTTAAAATTGTATTTGGCTACTTTTAGCAACTTTTGATTAGTGACTCAAACAATAAAAAGGCACACATTTTCCATCTAAATTTCACAAAAAGAGGAAACCAAAGATGCCTAGCAGTACACACATCACGTGAATTAAATTATTGCCATTTGCAATTGTTCAATTTGATAATATTAATAATAATTTAATAATTGTACATTTATGATACACCTTGTTGTACCTGTGATTGTTGATCAGTTAGTACACTGTAAGAAAAATATCTAGAAAAATGGAAAAGGTAGGCTTCTAGTAATTTTCCAGGACATTATCCGTTATCCATTATCCATTGTAACCCTTTAACCCGAAACACACAATACAATGCGTAATTTAAAATGCAGGTAAAAACCTGTGAATGCTTTTCTTAGAGTGTAGCATATTGACTACTAATACACTGCTTAAAACTAATTGTTCAGAATGTGTAGTTTTACTAGTTTACAAGCTAATAAAAAAAACTTGTAATCATTCAAAAATGTGTAAATGTTCAATAATTCAATGTTGTATATAAAAAGTTATTTATATTTTAACATTATATTATGCATTTATATTATTTTAGGAACAAATCTAAATTAACATATAAAAATATATTTTTTATTGAGATTTGATGTAGTGACACAATTTTGCATCATGATTACGTAATGACTTCATCACGCAATGACATCACGTCATTTAGCAACTTTTAGCAACAAATCGACCTTCCTTTAGCAACTTCCCCTGAAAATTAGTTGGCAACAGAACCACTAGGGGGCAGGGCACACAATCTGCCGGACGTGCCGGTTGGAAATTAGTAGAAGAAGGTAGGAGTTTGTCGTCCATTTAGCTTTCAAATGTAGGCGTTTTAATCACTTTTTCCTGATAAGAATTTAGGAGGTACTGTACTTTGGAGTAGAAGTCTTTTACTGCCATTTAGCTTCAGCTGCCTGTTATCTCTGTCCATCTCTTTTCCATTTCTCCTCTTTGCTATAACGATGTCGTGTGCTTCTCAACACAATGAACTACTCATTTAGCTGTAGGCCTAACTGTGAAATCAACACATTTGCTTTCCAAGTGTTGCCATTCTTTTGGAAAATGGAGAAAGAAGGTATTTTTCTATAATTTCCGGGCGAATGTAGGTAGCCTAACTACCTATGCACTGTATTTCCGTTTAGTGGTCAGTGGTCAAGGCTACCCAAATAATAATACTGTTGCACATCATTTGTCACACATAATGTGACATAAATTGTTAAAAAAGAAGAAAATGTGAGGGTCTGAGGCTCATTTGGTGACACTGAACCAAAAAAGACAAGACTACTACGCATTTTTACCCAAAATATATCTCCAGGCTATTTATGACCTACCTAGAACTATATTTTTATTTCAAAGTACGCTGAAATGTCAGACCTTGCGTATAAAGAACTACCTGTAAGTTTAGCAGTACCTAGAATTTGAGTAAAGTGTCCCTGTAAATCCACCAGATGGCAGTCAAGATCAACCGAATTAAATTTCTACATTGTTTGAGAGAATTAAAAAAGGTAACCTTTAATTACCTAACGTTAACTGAGGCTAAACGTTTGGCACCAAATTCCCTTTTATAATTTAAGTTTTGTAAATGCAAATGGAAATCTACCATCCATAGTGTAGCCTACATCTTTGAATGATTTTCCTTTAAAGGCGCTGAATGTATTGAGGGTTTATGAAAATCTGCTCAACTGAATATGAAAACAGACAGAACGTTAGGTAACACAAAGCCTTGCTCTGAATATTTAACGTTTTGTTGCCCAGTCTTTGTGAATGAGAATAGAATAGACTCAATTTGGCTCTGTTTCAAATCAGGCTAATCGGCTTTTGGGGCAAAATACATTCTCTCTAATCTCAACCTCGCCACTGTCCTCACTGAAGTGCATAAAAAGGTAAAACTGTCATTAAGAAAATCACATTAAGGGGCAGAAAACCACATGTAATCCCACGTATTCTCTCCTTCTTAGTTGTGTTGCTATTGTAACATTCAATGCCCATTTTCATGTACCATAATCCTCTATGCATACAGCTCTGGTCCAGCATACAACCATGAAATCATTGCTTAGAATTGGTTGTATTAATCATTTGCATTGCATCCTTTTTAAGCAGACCTTTAAAAAGGCCAGCTTAGACCAAGCTGAGTGCTCTGATGACTAGCAAAACTAGGTTAAAGCTGCTTTACCAAGCACATATTGCTGTTTAAGATCATTAACCTTGTGAATTGAATGGGTTGAAACCATTTGAACCTTCAGACAATTAAAGAAAAAAAAGAAAGTTTGCATTTTTGTATTATATTTTGTATAATATTTGATACATCATGCTTTTATGGCCTATATGTATAGTATGATACAGTGAGAATATGAAGCTAACAAAAAGGACATAAATAAAAGATTCAAAAGGTAAGATTAAATTCTGATTGCTTGTAATGTAAATCATTGAGATCTTTATAACAGCATAGCAGACTACTTACATAAAATGCATATTATAAGTAGTTTTCACTCTATATCTCCCTTCATAAAAGGCTTGTCATATTTGATACTTAGATTTTTTTTTTCTAAAAGTTGATGTATGGATAATCAAATAAAGTTATTTACAGTATATGCAGTCCAGTAAATTTATCTTGAAACATTAATAACAATATAAAAGTTATTCTTGCAAAATAAATATAAAATGCAGTAAAGATTTCACAGCAAAAAGACACATGAACCACAAGCTGAAGTGGGACAGTTTTTAAATTATACTAAAAGGCTTATACTTTTACTCGCTAATAAATAAACTGTCAGTCAGAGGGCAGAAGGCATGTAGTAGATTGTGTGCAATATGTTTTTCAGCAAAGTTTTGATCACATTAATAATTTAGAGGTCTTAGAAATTCATGTATCAACTACTTACAGGATATGGGTTAAGACACCTATTGGAAGCACCAGCATTCAATACTGGGAACTAGCATCCAAGCACATGTTCAGAAAACATTTATAATAATTTGAGGGAATTTAATGTTCCTATAGATGTATAATGATCATAAAACGCCCATTTCTTGTCAATACACATAAGTGTATTAGTAACATATAATATTACATATAACACAGATCATATTGTTGTCCAGCAACCAAATACGCTGCTATTGTCTGACAGTGACGGACTGCTGAAATGCAAAATCCTCTGTGGACTGCAGCCATTCAAACCCATAGACAGCCTTGACAGGCTCAGATTCAGTGTCTCTGAGCTCTTGTGCATCCCATGGGTTTACTGTCAGGCCTGGACGCACTGATCTCGCGTCAGTGTCACCAGTCCTGTTACTGTATGCATGTCAGCCTCTGGGATCCTCTGGGAAAGCCCATTGTTTCCCTACCGTTTGCAATCGGACGCTTTGAATGGTACAATGATCAAGCAAAATAATCAACTGGCCTTTGTTTTAAACAGCCCACCTCAATGGGAGAAAATAAACTTATGGTAATGAAGCCTTATCGTGGGCAATTCAGATGTGAGAGTGATGGGCTTTGCGTGCCAGTCAAGCAGAATCATCCAACACAAGCGCCACCATTGCAATGAGATGCTGACAGCCAATTGTCTGAGCTCCAGAGGACCCTAATGCTTCAAGTCCCCCAAAATATGCCTCCCTTTCTCTGAACAGCACTGCTTTCATTTAAAAAATATTGCTCACTCATACGACCTCCAGCTTATTATTGACAATATAGTATATCATGTAATGTTAACTCTGGTCATTGAATCTCCAAGAGTGCTGATAAAACAGTCCGACAGCACTAGGACTTTTCACTGTTTGTATCAAACTGCTTGTCTGTGTTTGTTTTAGACAGGCTGCCAGTCTGTTCATTAGTGGAGGCAGTTTTTTAGTTACTCTTTCTGCAGGTTACATTGGTACGCTGGTAGGGTCGACTTAATGAGTGAGTTGTTGATTCATTTATTTAACCAATTCATTCAAACATGAATCAGGAGTTCAGGAGTGAAAAAGTGACTTTGGGCTTGTCCAAATACCCACACTTGTACCCACACTTACTATGTCTACTTACATGACATATTTCCCGTATTTGGCCCACAAGTGTGTGTAGAACTTTTCATTACCTGGTGAGACACACTTATAGTGTTGTAAAAAAAAATGCAGAACTTTATTTTGATTTTAATACTTTGGATTTTAAAATAAACTTCTAAATATCTATTCAGTAGTCAGATTACACAATTTTGAGATCGTGGTGCTTCGAATTAAGAGATAAAAAGCAGTTGTAAATATTGTACAAAATACACATACTCATCTTCACACTTTATGTTTTACTACCAAACTATATATTACATTTACATTTAATCATTTAGCAGACGCTTTTATCCAAAGTGACTTACAAATGAGGAGAACAATAGAAGCATATGTAATATCTAATTATTATTTATATTTAACTCACGTTGCAAAGGGCTCTGCGAAATCTTGCAAGATCTCAGCAAAAGGTCTCGCGTGTGTTAAGGGCACTGCTGCGTTTTGGCATTTTTAAGACCTGGCACAGTTTTGTGCGCACACTTTCTGTTGTGTGCATGTGCTCTCAAGTGGACAAGACTGTGAATTGTGGGTATTTGGACAAGCCCTATCTTTATGAGTGAGTCATTGAATAATTCACTCAAACGATTCATTCAAAAACCCTGATTCTTTTAAGAACCAAACACCACTAGAGAGATACGCATTGGTTCTGCTGTGGTTTTGTTTGGAAAATAAACAAAATAACTGGTAACTTTGTATTTAAAATGTGAGTACTCATGTACTCAGGAGCTTTGATCGAACAGTTTTATCAATGCAGTATCACACTTTTTC